TGTGCAAGAATTTAGCATGACCTTTCACATAAAAAAAGTAGTATGAACTTTTACCCAAATTATTTTCAAGATTTTGTTCTATTAAATAATCTTTCTTTGATGATTTAATTGGCTAATTTAGATTTTAGTTCATTCAAGATAACTTTTGTTCATTTAAGAAAATGGTGACATTTTTCATAGATTTCAGTAAGTGTAATACATACTTGTAATTAGAATGTTCAATGTATTGACAAAGAAAGATTATTAATAGAACAAAATCTTGAAAATAATTTGGGTAAAAGTTCATACTACTTTTTTTATGTGAAAGGTCATGCTAAATTCTTGCACATAGAATGTTCATGTCTAATTTCGAATCTGAGAATAAATAGTGAGAGTTCAGGTTTTAATTAAAATTGGGATTTATTTTTTATTTTAATGCTTTGAAATTGTCAGTATATAGTGTCAGTAGGTTATGTTATTATGTATTCTGAATTAGTCTCAAAAGCAGTGACACATGCATGCAATATATATGGAGTCTCAAATTTAGTTGACAGAGGCAGTGAAATAAATGTGTGTGGGGATTGTATCTTAATAACAGAAAATGTAAAATCATATCCTGTGCATGTCATATCAAGTTTAAATTCATGAAAGTAGGTCAAAGGTTATGAACCTGCTGTTTGTATTTATTGTTGAAAGCTCAAATTAATGCAATGAAATGGAAGTCCTATTAATATTGTTTTGATTCTGATTTAAGTTAGATAATCTTGTGTAATGTGCACTTGGTATGCATATTAATAATAAAAGCTTGTCTTTGACATGTGTAGAGCCTGTATATATTACTTTATGTCCTTTGTTTTCTTTGGCCAGGTTCATCTGTCACAAAGGAACCAGAACCACTGATATGTTTGTGTTTGTTTTGTTTTTTTCCCACTTTTTCATATCAATACAAAGAAACATACAAATAAATATAATGAATAACATGTAAGTTTGACAAAATTTGTTTCTAGTTAAAATAAAAGTTTCATTCAAAAGGAAAAAGCAGGAGACCACATGTCGTAAGCGTAAATGCTTGAACATGACCGTGGCCTCTGCCGAGTTAACAAAATAAAAGAACAACCCATGTAACTGCATTGTATTCAATGTTAAATAAGATATAAGTGAAGTGATTAAAAGTGAGCATGGCTGAATTAATTTTGAGTGAAAATAACAAAACAAATTTAGTGAAATATTTCGTGTTGAGAAGTGCATTTGTGCAAGGTGCAAAAATTAGCTTGGTGGAACAAAAAAAGAGACTAATACCGTGATATTAATTGTGTGTTGGTTTCAGTTACGGGTGATAATATTAAATGTTTGTCAAGATATCATGCTCAGAGCAACACAGTGGCTTTGACCCACATCCAACCATCTCATGTCGGACCATCCTGATAAGATAATTCATACCCCTTGTGTGTGTCTATTGTGTATTCTTGACAGCTAGTGTGTGCATTTTTTGCTTATGTGTTTGTAAATACATGAGGGTGGGTGGGTGTGTGTTTATAGAGAGAGAGAGAGAGAGAGCGAGAGAGAGAAAGAGAGAGAGAGAGAGAGAAAGATAGTGTTTGTATGTATGTGTGAAATTGGAATATTAGTGTGTGTACTGTAAGTGAACTCTTTGAGAAAAAAAATCCGCAATGTAAAACTATATAAACCAAGCACCAGAATAACCAGAAATGTTCACAAATAAACAGACCCCCCCCCCCTTCCCCCAATAAAAATCCCCTCGCACCACAGCTAGCTCACATACATTTTGTACACCTAAACATGTAAATGGCCAGCAAAACTGAAGTCCACGCGCATGCGTAATACATATACTAGGTACTGCAGCTCAGCCACAGTGCTGTGAACTCAGCTCGTGAATATTCATGACGCGTATACCTCTGAACCAATAAGGAGGCAGGATTTTACTCTCATAGGTAAACCTGTTTGGGAAAAAAAAATTCGCGGCGGGGGGGGGGGGGGGGGGCCGGGGGGCCGGGGGGCCGGGGGGTACTAATATATTAGGGCATACGGGGGCATGGCCCTGGGAAGCGGGGGTGCTGGGGGTGCTGCAGCACCCCTGGAATTTTCCAGGGGGGCATAGCACCCCCTGCAAAAAAAATCTAGTATGATATATTTAATGTATATCACTATATGAGTCGTTGCGAAATTTTTGGGACCAAAACAAAAATATATATGTCCTCTTACCCCCCCGGTTACAAAATCGTTCCCAGGGCCCTGTACGGGGGTGTGCCGTTCTAATAAATGGGTCACTTTTACACAACAAGTCCCTAACCATGGGTCCCACTTTTAACAAAAATATCAAAATTTCAAAATTTGAAAAATTGAAAAACACCTAAAAAACACCCGAAAATTGTGAGCCGGGATAATACATGTATATGATTACAGGGCTCTCGGTTTTGATGAGGCTATCCTGGCAAGACAAGACCATTGATTGTATGTTGACATGATTTATTTTCTCCATGGAATTACACATTTATCGTGATATATACGGGATGAGGATCGAGGTAGATGTTTCATATTTAATTAGATTTGATTGATTGATTTCTCTTCATGGCCCTTTTCCCAAAAAATAAAAACTAATTACAACATAATCATGATATCAAACATGTATAATATTGAATACATCATCAACGTAAACTAATTGCATGGTAATACCAATATGAAATAATAACGAAAGAGAATTGCCACATAGGTTAAGCTTGAAAACGTGGCAATCCTTTTTAAAAACTTGTTTGTTCTCTTCAAGTTCTCTTTTCTTTACTTTTTCTCTTTCTCACTCCTTTTTCTTTCTTTCTGTCTTATTTCTTTATTATGTTTCCTTACTCGCCCTCTGTCTGTCTCTCTTTCTGTCTCTTTCTCTCACTATCTCTCTCTCTCACACACTTTCTCATTGTCGCTCTTCCTCTCTCCTTGTCTCTCTCTCTCTCTCCCTTTCTCCTTCTCTCTATCTTTCCCTCTCTCCGATTCTCTCTCTCTCCCCTTCTTCTCTCTCTCTCTCTCTCCCTTTTTCCTTCTCTCTCTTTCCCTCTCTCTCTCCTTCTCTCTCTCTTTGTCTCTCTCTCTCTCCCCTTCTCTCTCTCCCTTTCTCTCTCCCTTTCTCTCTCTTTCTCTCTCTCTCTCTCTCTCTCTATTCTATTTGAACCTCTTCATATACGAGTAACATTAAGCCAATGCCTACCCTTACATCATCATTATTTCTTTATTGCAACCAAAACCTGAGGTTGGATTTCAAATAAGAATAAAAATACAAATAGATAGATAATATAGATGTACACAAAGTCAAAGAAACTGTTAATTCTGATAAATAAATATATAAATAACAATGCTACTATAGAAATATTACATATTATGAATAAATAAAAGTAAGCTCATGAGTACAATATTCCATAATGATTGTATATAACGTCATAATTAATTAGAGTATATGTACATAAATTGAGCAGTTTATAATGGAATTCATAGTCTTGTCTTCCTTATTTATTTTCCATTTTCCTTCTATATATTTTTTGCAGCTATTTGACAGCATATCAGTTATTTTTATTAAAAATATAATAGCAGCCCACGGTCATGACAAAATATAATTCATTAACTGCAAATAATGAGAAAATTCCACACATCTATAACCATCTTCACTCACTAAATAAGAAACCAGCATACTTATAAAAGGCCATTTGGGTATTTGTTCAAAACTGTATATTAAAACAGAGGACTGTTGGATACGTGTTCACGAAACTATGAAAACATTATTCATTTGTTCACCGGCGGTACATTTTACGTGTATGATGCACAGGTAGAAGGATTTTTTCTTCCAAGAGGACAAACAAAAACACACAATGTGACATTTTCTTTTCATCAAAAGATCTGTGGATATTAGGGGTAATCTACGTGCGCTACATGTATCTCACAATAGGGGAGTGTTTCACACTGAGACTAAGATCGACTTTAAGTTGGACTTAACTATGGCAGGCCGCTCATGCCACTGTTTGCTCTCACCAATCCTGGCATTGGCAGGCGCGGATCCAGGAGAGGCCCAAATTTGGAATCAATTTGAAATTTAGTGTGCTGAAATTTGAAAATCGTGCCGGCCGATATAGGGGGGGACAAAAAAGAAATGGTCATTTTCTGGTCACAATCTTTTTTTTTTGCCCGTCTTTTTTTTTGTTGAAAAAAAAACAGTCTGCCGTAGTCAAGTCCAACTTGAAGTCGATCTTAGTCTTTGTTAAACACACCCCTGGTCTCTTTGTAAATTGTCATGAATCCTGCTCTCACTCTATTTCTCCCCACCACCAAACAAATCGGATAAGCAAAACTGAAAACAAAAACAAACTAAAAACAAACAAACAAACTAACAAAAACAAAAACAAAAACAAAAACAAAAACAAAAACAAGACAAACAGATAAAAATACAATACAGAGTTACAGGATGTTCGATCGGCGAGCCCCTTGACCGCCCCTCCCCATCAACTGGTCCGCCCCTGGCATGGACACTGGATGTATTAAATATGGGGGCATTCTGTATATATAGTGGTATACATGAGGCATGGGGTCAATTATTGTTTGGGAGGGGGATGGGGGTGTGCACCCAGGGAATAATGTGGGAGGGCGTGCCAGGGTTAACTTGTCTTTCTTCTTCATTCTCTATTTTCTCTTCGCTTATGCAATTAGACATGCCACTGCAAAAGGATTGGGTCCCCTCGCCCTTCTATTTCTATACCAAGTTAATTTTCCAGGGTATTTTTTTCTTTTTTGGGGGGGGGGGGGTGGGGGAACAATTTTCATGCGAATCTATTCTGAAACCATATGCATTAGTTGAACTCACACTGTCTCTGCATCGTACTTGTATATATTTTTAACTTTAACACCGACACCTGATTGAAATCTCAAAGCGCTAATTTCTACTCAATGGAAAGTGGAAATTGCAACTATTATTAGTAGTATTTATATATCTGCAGCATAATGTCATGACAAGTCTTTACAAATCCGTCACTACACTTTACGTGCCTATCTGCCAGAGATATTTGTCGTCATTTAGAAGTTTGGCTAAATCTTTGTTGCAAGGTCTGTAAAAATCGTCCAAGAGTTTCTTCGTTTGTGGTAACATCGGCCCAACTCTCCTGTCGCGTGCTTTTCTTCGGTTCAGCTTCCCCGCCTGTGCAACCTTATGTCGGTATTCTTCAGACATAGGATCTACACAGAGAGAGAGAGAGAGAGAGAGAGAGAGAGAGAGAGAGAAAGAGAGAGAGATAGAGAGAGAGAGAGTGAGAGAGAGAGTGAGAGAGAGAGAGGGGGAGAGAGAAAGGGAGAGATCGCGAGGGAGCGATGGAGGAAGGGTGGAGGGGAAGAGAGGGAGGATGTGAAGGGAGAGAGTGAGGATGTGAGGGGAGAGAGGGAGGATAGGAGGGAGAGAGAGGGAGAGAGAGAACAAGAGATGTGAGAGAAGGGGAAGGTGAAAGGGAGAGGGAGAGACAGACAGACAGACAGAGAAAGTGACAAAGAGAAAGAGAGAGAGAGAGAGAGGGGGGGGGGGAGAGAGAAAAGTAAATGAATTCATATACACGACCTAAATACATAAATCAAAAGACTGAACTCATTCAAATATTATGTGCGCCACAGTGAGGATATGACCAGGGTTATACCAATGGACAAATGCAATAAATCATTTTCTGGGATATTAACCTATTAGTAATACCACGATCGCAAATTCTCAAGAAGATTATTATTCATTTCGTATACCGTACAAATTAACAGCGAATAATAAATCACTCTGACTAAGAAGTCAGAAGAAGCTTTCAGGGACTGTCGAAACGTCGTCGCAGAGCGCTTAGAGACTTCTGACAAAGTAAGTGTTATGCGCTATATAAGCACTGTAATTATTATTTATTATTATTACTTCCAGTGTACTGATTTTTATCCGCTATTATTTTTGACGATATTACATTTTAGAAATCAACTTCTTGGCAATTTTCATACTCAGTGAGTCGTGTATCTCCTATAGAAATCATGGTTGGAATACCTTATAAGTCAATGCTCTGTTGTTGGTAAACGTCGATGGGTGATGGGTATAGGCTAGTGAAAATTTATTTGCATTTTTGCATTTTTGAAGATTTTTTTTTTTTTTTTTTTTTTTTTTTTTTTTAAACTTTCGTTAGGAATTTGCTGCTACATGTATTTGGGTTAAATATTTTAGTGACAATTACACGTACAGTACAAAGCATCTATATCTTCATGTTGTTGTCTCTGTATTGCATAAAATGCACGATGATCTAATAACGGTTACTGAGGGGACTAGGGTATTGGGGGGGGGGGAGGTCTTGAACTCCCCTATCCCTCATCAAATAAATCTTGTTTATACTATTCAATTTAATTCAATTCAATTCAATTCAATTCAATTCAATTCAATTCAATTCAATTCAATTGTTCATTAAAATCCAAACAAATAGGATAATTCTTTATACATGAATTCAACATGAATAATGAACACTTTTTTTGCGGGGGGGGGGGGCACACCTGGTCTGTGCCACCTTAGTAATCCCGATTGAAGTGACTCTATAGGCCTACCTAAATTGCACGAATTTTTGACTACGCTTGACATTGTGACTTTTAACCAAACCTGAAGTGCTTTGCTTTAAAAATAACATTGTGTTGGTATATTATAGTCATTCTTAAAACACAAACATGGGAATTGGGAATGTATGTTTAATCAATTTGCTATACACCCCTTTTCCCGTCAATAAATTTCCAAGAGACACAGTTCATTTTTTGGAGCATGAATCTTTTGCATTGCTGAAGTGACTTTTCTTCTCGTCCATTTGCAAAATTCGTGAACTATCATGAACACCAAAATGTTATTGTTTTACAGTTTTAAAGGTACTATGTCCCATTTGCAGACCAAAAAAAATGAAAAGGATAAATTCCAACGGTATTTGAAAGATAATACTAATTTAGAACTTCCCTAAAAAAAATGGGAGCTTGAAAATGTCTTTAAGTGGGAAAATAACGACTATTAGTTGTCAAATCGACTTAAGAGCTATAGAGCCAGTAAGTAATAGTCTGATTTTCAGACTATTGTACCAAATGGTCGTACGTTTTATGCTGCGCAAAGATTCAATCAGTAATTCTGGCCATTACAAGAAGTGGGTTATTGATGTAGACAAATGCTCATGTACTCGTTATAGCTCATTTAATGTATGTTATTACCAAATAAGAAAAAAGCCAGTCAGTCACTCAATAGCGTCTGACAGTGAAGTCTATCAAGTAAACGGGTTTCCTTGCATAATTCGAATATTAGGACACTGCTATCGTTTAGACATACATGACATTTTCATAATTCCTGCAAAGTTCTACAGAATTTGATGTTGGCTGCAAAAGGGACATAGTATCTTTAAGGCCCAATGTCAATTCAAAATTCATTATAATGACAGTCAGTATTTACTTACCAATATCTAGAAATGAGAATATTTCTTTCATATAATGAGCAGGATCTTTTGACCAGTCTTCTGTGCGTAAGAAGTAAAGCTGGTTCCGGGGAAACCGTGCCAGATATTCTCGGATGTAGAAGGAATAGCACCCGATGTTTATGTGCTGAAAATACAACCACACGGCATGCGATGTAAAGGGGGAACAGGATAAATAAATAAATGGGGAAAAGGCAACGACGATGATGGTAGTGGTAGAAGTGGTAGCGGTGACAATGATGACGATGTTAATGATGATGAAGAGACGATGATGAGGAGGAGGAGAGGGAAACAGGGGGATTTGGTGGTAGTGATGGTAATGAAGATGACAGTGATGATGATGAAAATTATGAGGAGCATACGGTGATGGTGGAAACGATAATGACGATGACGATAGTCACCTTAAAATGGCGACGATGAGGAGGAGAATGAGGAGTTAAAATGAGGGTTGAAGGGGCAAAGGGCTCCTTCATTGCCCAATTTACACCATACATGTAGCTTCCATTTTCAAGGAAATTTCCTTGTTTTCAGTATTTAAAAAAAATTGAAAGTGTCAAGGACATTTTTAAGGAAATTGACAAATTAAAGGAAAACTGAAGATAAAATAAGGTAAATCAAAGGTAATTTAATTAAAGAACATAATTACTAAAAAGGCGAATCTTTACTCTTTGATATCATTTGTCATTTGCCTCTGTATTCAGTGTACATTATTGCTCACTCGCTTCACTCGTTTGCAATTTGAAATTGATATTCTGTTGAAACAAAAGACGTTTGGCGCTAGTCTCCAAGAATTTCATGACGAAAAAAAAGGCACAAAAAGGCACATACGAGGCAGTTTGGAAGAAAAGAAGGAAATTCAATTAAATTTCAGGAAATTTGATGATCTATTTCAGGCAATTTCATGGCAATAATTATTCTTACCGGTACCACGTCATGATAGGCACAGAAACGGAGATCATGATTATCTGTACAATTGTAGAACTCCTCCATCGCCTTCACCACTTTGACGTGGAAATCCTCCGGCGATGTGGGACTCTTTTTGTGCTCGGCGAAATAAAGGTAAGCCGAGTAGAGCCTCGAAGTTGGATCGCGTATAATGCCAACGATTTTGAGATCGGGCAAGGCAGCCCTGATAAAATCAGCTGTGACGTACTTGATTTCCTCTCTGAGTTTGGGCGGCATACGAGCTATCACTGCCTTGTTATCCTGGAACGTCAGTGCAGATGCGTCACCTGGCAATAAAATCATAAAATCATTCAATGGTAAACTTGAAGAAGAAAACAAGTAATATAGAGCGTCCCAGAAAAAACGAAACCGAGAATTATCGATGTTTAATCATAACTTATTCACAATTATAATTAATAAATGACACATATTTGGAAAGCTTAGATCCTTCTCTTTCATTTGATGCAACTTATATGATTTCTCACGCATGAATGATCAAAAGCAATTTGAAGAGAGTAAACCAAAAAGGCATTTGGCGGGCGGTATCTGAATTTCAAGAAAAAAAAATCACATTTCTAGAAAGTTCAATTTCTGCCCTTTCTGTTATGACACCTCAATTAGGAAAAATGAGCCAGGAATAACAAAGTTCTGTTTATCAAACGAGTTCGTTTTCACTGGCTACCTGCCGTAGCAACGAACAGAGTTGACAAAAGACTTAACTCCGTTTCGTTGACGATCAGCCAGGGGGGGGGGGGGGGGGGGGGGGGGTTAGAGCACACTTCTTTCTTTTTTTTTTGTCCTGAAAATTTGAAAATTTGGCTGATTGATATTCGTTCCGTTGGGGGGCGGGGCGGGGGGCGGGGGGGGGGCGGGGGGTAAGGTCACCTTTTTTGGTCACCCATTACTATAATTTTTTTTAATTTTTTTTATTTATGTATTTATTTATTGAAGATAAAAATTGAGGGGGGGGTTCCTCCAACACACACACACACACACACACACACACACACTAAAACAATTTGAGGGGGGTTCGACCCCCACCCTGCGTACGCACCTGATCCTAACCCTTAAGGCCTTCACCTAACCTAAACGCAATTGCATCACTTACTCTAGCCCTACACATGCCAGGAGCAATATTATGTCGGATCTCCGCTCTTTGTCACACGCCAAACCCATTGCCATATCATCACATGTTATCAAAATGAAACCCTTTTGAATAAATTCGTACGTCATCGGGTGCTATGTTTATTTTTTTGTTAAATACCATCAGTCATGTTCTTGGCAGTTGATGCTAGTAATCGTTCTAAATCATAACATTGATGTATGTCTACGGTGATTTAATATGGAAACATGTTTTGTTTTTTAAATAGCAAATTTATAAGACTATTCAAATTATGCCTTAATAATAAATGTTATTTTTATTCTTATTATTTACCCTGGGGTATAACCACATAAATAATTATTTACTTCTCTTCCTGCAGGCCTTGCAATTATTATTACCCCAGAAAATACATTTGGGTCGAGAGTAGGAGAGGAACAAAATGAGGGGTATCCAATTTTAAACAGAGTGGAGGGCTGGGATTCGAACCCAAACCCTTGGATTGAGAGTGCGGTGAATTGAACCCCTACACCACTACATATTCACAAGTGGAGGAAGAGAGAGAGAGAGAGAGAGAGAGAGAGAGAGGGAGATAGAGAGAGAGAGAGAGAGAGAGAGAGAGAGAAACGTTTGAAACATATATTTTGTCCACTGTCTTTGTAATCGTGATAGAGAAGGAATATAGTTGCATGTGTATGGGTGTGGACGGTATGTAAAGAGAGAGGGGGGGGGGGGGAGGGGAACATTTGAGACATATTTGTCCACCTCCCAGCCACTGTCTTTGTAAACATGGTAGAGAAGGAATATAGTTGCGTGTGTATGGGTGTGGACGGTATGCAAAGAGAGAGAGAGAGAGAGAGAGAGAGAGAGAGAGAGGGGGAGAGTGAGAGAGATAGAGAGGGGAGAGAGAGAGAGAGAGAGAGAGAGAGAGAAACGTTTGAAACATATATTTGTCCACTGTCTTTGTAATCGTGATAGAGAAGGAATATAGTTGCATGTGTATGGGTGTGGACGGTATGTAAAGAGAGAGAGAGAGAGAGAAAGAGAGAGAGAGGGGGCGGGGGGGGGGGGGAACATTTGAGACATATTGTCCACCTCCCAGTCATTGTCTTTGTAAACATGATAGAGAAGGAATATAGTTGCATGTGTATGGGTGTGGACGGTATGCAAAGAGAGAGAGAGAGAGAGGAGAGGAACATTTGAAACATATAATTGTCCACCTCCCAGCCACTGTCTTTGTAAACATGATAGAGAAGGAATATAGTTGCATGTGTATGGGTGTGGATGGTATGCAAAGAGAGAGAGAGAGAGAGAGAGAAGAGAGAGAGAGGGGGGGGGGGGAGAGAGGGGGGGGGGGAGAGTGACAGAGAGAGATAATTGATTTGTAATGTTTTTTTTTGGAAACATGAATAAATTTGAATTGAAATTGAATTTGAAATTGAGAGAGGACCATTTGAACATTTTGTCCACCTCCCAGCCACTGTCTTTGTAAACATGATAGAGAAGGAATGTGTATGGGTGTGGATGGTATGCAAAGAGAGAGAGAGAGAGAGAGTGGGGGGGGGGGGGGGCAATACAAAGAGTAAATGACAGAGCTGATTGATATAGAATGTGAGGGAAGATAATTGAGTATATTCATCACGACACGGTGGGTATTTCTTTATTTTTTGGTTCTATTTGAAGAGCTATCCCCTTTTAGGGGACAGTGCTTCGAGGATCTTCTTCTGAAATGACTTAGAAAGATTGAGAAAGCTCATGGATAGTATTTTCAGCTTTATCAGAACGAAACTTTCTCTTTAAACATAGCTGAACAACCAATGAAGCCCTTTTACGATTTATTACTCCAAGATGTGTCGGTGATCCCTTCGAGGGCCGTGCCATGTGACAATCTGTGGCGATTCCCTCCTCAATCAACTGCTCGTGGCACACTGTTTTTCTATCTTTAATAATTCACACCGCACTTTGCCCTTGGGGTTAACTTTGTTATAAACGATCACGGTCAACCATGAAGTTGGCACCCCCCCCCCCCCCCCCCACCCCTTCTCCCCAAGTTCCATCATCTACACGCCCAGTCGTGGCAAATGTCTTACGCATTATACGTAAACCGCACACAATATTATCATGACGTATTGTGTGAAATAATATGACGTTTTATCGTTTCAGTTCATATGATTTCAATGTGTTGATGACCGCATATATCATGATGGTGTAAAGAAAAAATATGATGAGAGCAGAGAAGCTCTAGTGCCGCACTGTGGGAAATATCATCTATGTTTTATCGACTCTTTTCCAATATTTTCTTTGTGTTAATCACCGTAAAAATCATAATGATGAAGACAGAGGCGGCCTGTTTCGTACTGCTCACTGCTATAGAGGATATTATTTAACTGATGCATGCTCCGGCATTCAATATAACAATAGGCCTATATCATGAACCGATAACTTCAGAATTTTCCGATTGATGTTATATTCTACCGTGGCCGCAAGTTGTGCATCCAGACAGTTGATTTAAAACAGCAATTTGAAGAAATTTACAAGCAATATTTATATATTATTGTAAAGGACAAATATTTATGATGGTAAGTGCCAGTATTTGCTGAATATTTATAGCTATATCCGAAGGAAAAATGGAAGTCTTTATGTTTGGTATACTTACATGTGATGAGATCTTTCTGATGTTTAGAAGTCATTTCCTTCGATAAGTTATTATATCGACGAACGTATGTTTCAATTTTTTTCTCTGAAATAAAAAAAAAAAGGAAAACACATAATGATACAAAGTACTGTAGTGATATGCGAACTACTTGTACTTGGAATAGTGAGTGTAAAATAAAATAGACAAGGTTCTTCGCATTTTAGAGCCATTAGTAAATTGCCACAAGCTAAAACGATAACAATTAATAATGATAATAATAACAACAAACAAAAACAGCAACAACAATGAGCATAAAACAACCACCCCCTAACAACATCAATAATAGTGATAATAATAATAATAATAATAATAATAAATAATGACAATGATCAATAATAAAAATAGTGCTTCCATTTTTATAGCGCTAAACATATATTTAAACATATATGTTACTACTTTTATCATAATTATCATCAGCATTATAATCCTTGATATTATTAGTATTATGATTATTATGATTAATATTATAATTATTATTATCATCATCATGATTAGAAGAGGCAACCTAACACACATAACAGATCCATAAACCTATCTGTATACTGTAATATATTATGTGAAAAGCGTAAGGAAAATATCTTCAATTTCGAATTTGGACGGTGGGGGCACATAAGTATACACGTTTTCATATATCCAGGTGTGCTTTTGTTTATTAACATCAGATAACTGGCCCTTTCTCCTATTACCCCCCACCCCCTCCCCCTCCCCTTCCTCAGGTCATTCAGGCCCGGATTCACAAAGGAGGTTTGTTGACAAACCTCCTTTGTGAATTGTGATATTTTCCGTTGCATTTTGCGTCAGCTCGAAATCTTTGATTTTGAGAGCGTTTGCTGATCAATTCGAGCGAGGTATTCTTTCTTCAATCAATTTCGTGTGTTTTTGAGAAAGCACTTTAAAATGCTTTATCCTGCCCATCACTTATTTGTCGTTGTATAATAACGTTGGCTGGCAAGACGCTCCTGTTAAAACAGGCCTCCTTTGGCAACGCATGAGGCTAACCTTAATTGCATTTTTAAATGCATATTTAATTTAATCATACCGTTGGCCTGCACGGATATCTTGTAAAATCGATGCTACCTGTATATTAAAAACAGGTTTAAAATGCAGCTTAGCCTCAAATAATGCGATGCCTAGAGAGGCCTATTTTCACGTGACTTTTTGTAGGCCACTACAGTATAACAGAATTATGTATTTCAAAGACACGTTTAAATAACAGGTTAGCCTTGATCAATCGGTGCCAAAAGAGGCTTCCTCTCACAAAAAAGGCTTGTCATGATTGTAGGCCAATACAATAGGGACTTTTAGATTCTGCACGACGAGAACGTGGACTGCCCTTTTAAGGCAATGTGACGTCCTTTAAGGCACTGGCAGTGACGTCACATTGCCTTAAAAGGGCAGTCCATGTTCTCGTCGTGCAAAATATAAAAGTCCCTACTGTTAAACTGGAGATATACACGAATAAACGACAGACTAATTATATTTTGTTGTAACTAGACATCCATTGTCCCGAATGGTTATCTCGAACGTGCGCTATTGAATGTGTTCATTATGCTTAATTTGAAGGTGCGTTCGTAATAACGGAATCCTATATTCGTGATAGCGAACCTCCGGAACGAGGCCCTATTTTCTGGACATCAAACCTTTGAAAAAACAAATCTTCTGATAAACGAATCACATTTTTGGAATTACATGTATGAACCCATGAAATACGCGGCCCTTTATTAAAGGGAAATCCAATCTTGATAAAAAATAAAAAAAAACACTCTTACTAGAGAAAAGCAGAAAAATCAGAGAAATAGACTGGTGAAATTTTGAATGAAATCGGACAAAAAAAATAGAAAGTTAGGAATCTCTAGAAGTTGTAATCAATATAGGTATGGGCTCCATACATTGGCTGAAATTGGTGGTAATGTCTCTGTGGAGTAATTTTCTCCTTTATTACAAATAAAATCATCACAAGGGTTGGATTGCCCTTTATACCTCCATTATTATCAAACAGTCTGATAAATAGGAATAGGGAATGCTAGGAATAATGAACCTGCGAAATAACGACTGTATAAGTAATTATAAATCCCAACATCGAAACTGGAAAGTCTAATCTTTAATGCGAACGCATGTGATGTCCGGATAATCTATTACCAACAAGAGGGTCTTAAGACTAATGAGCTGTAAACATGACCATACATCAAAACCAATGAAGGGATATAAGGGCGTGTTTATGCTTAACCTTTTCTGGCCAGAATCAGGCATCTGTTACGCGTTTAGTTTAAAACACGGATGCGTCCATGCTCACTTTTGTAGAATCACCGAAAAATGGCGATCACGATCGCCGATCGTAAACTCACAAAAAGATGCGTTTACAATTTGTAAACGCGTTTAAATGGGGTCAACGCACTGACCTCTCGTAGGTCTACGTAGCATGCACAGTGAAGGTTTGCGAATCCAGCTGGAAGACCAATTAAGGCCACACGGATGAGCCTGAAAAGTGAGCATAAACAGTACACCGTGGAACTGCGATTACGATGAGCCTTTACGATGATCGTTACAAATCGCTCATTCTGCCTTCAAAATTTAAGCTTAAACGCACCCTAAGGCACGTTACGCCCAGGTCATGGAATAATAATGCAGGGCACCAACTCAACAAACTGAACAGAACAAACATGACAACATTGTATATACATTAAACGATAAATAAATTATAGTCCAAAATATTCAAAAAACATATTAAACAGAAGTGTTCAAGTTTAAGAAACTAGGGGGGTATTTTTTGATGTGGAGGGCCAGAAGGGCAATTACCCTGGGCATTTGTTGTTTACCTTCAAAGTTAGTCCTTGTCCACCAATGAGGTTCCTTTAGGGTTCTCACAAGGGCTGGGTGGGTCATCAGCTTACCCCAGAGATCGGTGGTGGCGCATTTGGGGAATCCCCCGATGAAGAAGTAAGGTAGACAGCTGAGCCGGCTGGTGGTTTCGTTATGAAACTTCCAGCACGGGCTCTTGTAATCAGGTAAGAATTTCCGCGGAAATTGGCTGAATAACTGTCAACGAAAGATAAACGAAATCAATGACTAGAGTTTGCTAGCACAAACAAAGTCTGCACTGTAAGACTATGACTATGTATTTTCGAATTCTGTTTAGAGATAAAGTTGAGTTCTTGTCATAATAATAATATTTATTTGTAAAGCGCAATAACTATGTGGATATATTCTACTGCGCTGCAAGAGCTCGTAAATGCTGTGCTAAACATACTTTATGAACAAGTGAGTTTTCAGTTTTGATTATCTAGTGATAGGGCTTTCCTTATTTCTAGTGGTAATTTATTCCATAATCTAGGGGCAGCACAGAGAAATGACCGGTCCCCGAGGGTTACTTTGGTTTTATATGGGGGTATTTGCAACATAAATGTGTCTACGAAGGTTACGACCATGAGTTTGAGACTTGATATGCAACAATTCAGTAATGTAACTAGGAGTTTGACCATTTCGAGCTTTGTAGACTATCATTAATATTTTAAATGTAATTCTCTGGCGAATTGGCAACCAGTGTAGTTCCTTTAGAAGTGGGGTTATTCGAGAGAATTTTGGGAGGCTGCAAATTAGTCGTGCACATGCATCTTGGACCCGCTGCAACTTGGAAATTTGTGAGTCTGGCAATCCATACAATAAACTATTAAAGTAATCTAGTTTACTATTACAGTAATCTAGTTTACTAGTAACACATGCATGCATGACAGTTTTCATGCTGTCCTGATCAAAGTATTTTCGAATGCGTCTCAAATTATAAATCCTGAAATAGGCTGATTTGCATATTTTAGTGATATGTGAATCCATATTCAGGTGGGTATCAAAAGACACACCTAAGTTTCTAACAGTATCAGATGGGGTTATGGTGGAGTCACCAACTGATACACTACGCGACCTAAATTTAGAAACCTGGCGTGGAGTACCAATGACCAAAAATTCTATTTGTTATCATTTAACATCAACTTGTTTTGCAACATCCAAATCTTAATATAAACAACACATGATTCTAATTCAGAAATACAATGATCTTCAGCCGGTGTGTTAGGACAGAAAGATAGGTATAGTTGGGTGTCGTCTGCGTAGCAGTGACAACTAATACTAGGAAACTCCGTATGGATATTTGTAAGGAGTCTGCTTGTATACAAGATAAACAACAGAGGGCCTAATCGCGACCCTTGAGGAACGCCAAAAGGCACATTGAATACATCAGAGACAACGTTATCAATTTCAATTTTCTGTTTTCTATCTGACAAGTAAGATTCAATCCATTCGATAACCTTGCCATCAACCCTAAAATGGCTTCTTAGAGTTTTCAGTAGACATGAATGATCTATTGTGTCGAAAGCACTGTCATGTGATTGCATTGTGAAAGAAACGGTGTGGAATTGATCAGAAAAAGATGATCATGTACTGTATCGCCTTTGTAAAGTAATAAGCACTGTTCACAGAAAGATGTACATCTACATGGGACTACACAAACATATGGCATAAAAATGAGGCCCACATTTTCAAGCTGTTAGCGCAACGTTACATGTCATAATTATTTAGAATATGAAGATATAATCACAATGAAAATGCTCACAAATTATTTTTTCACCTCTCAGAACTCAACCTTTTCTTTAAGTGTCAATAATAGAAACTAAGGTCTGTGCATGCAGACTAATTCATGACGTTATAGGAGATTAAATTTCGTACACTCAAATATCGCTGCTGAATTAGGAGCTGTATGGTCTTTGATTTTTAAACTAATATTCAGATAATGAAACAAGTTAGCCAATACCAGCTGTTCGAACAAAAACAAATTTGTCTAATTATGGAAGTTAATAGTTTAGTAGTCGAATCTGTATCGAATGTTCACACTTTTCATTCACACACACGGGATATTTTGCTTTAATTGGTTTTCACCAAAGCTTACATAATTATCAAAGTATTTGAGACAGATCTGAACTACTTTGGGCCATGAAACTCTTTATCAATAACAAATGCCAAATTTCTATGTCAAAGTTGCTTTCAGCCAATCAAATACCACGATATCCGTAACGTATACCAGATATTGTAACTTGTTATTGATAACACTTTTTTTTTTATGAAACAGGGACTTGGTTTTGTATTAACCTCAACTCCATACTTCTCACATCGAATTCAATGCATTACTGTTCGAATAATTTTGTGGACTTTCGATTCAGATTAATAGCAACTCGAGATGAGACATAGGCGCGATAGCTCAGTCGGTAGAGCAGTGGTCTCGTAATCCGATGCGCTAATGCCCTTTGGTAAGGCATTAATCCTCATTACCAGGTCCCTCGGAGAGGACCTAAAGCCGCCGGCCGTCTGGTTGCTCACTAACAAGCATTTATGCTTTCTTAGCAGTCAGGTAAAATAACAACTACCACCACCATGTTAGATGTATGTTAGATGTGAGACATCGCCCTAGAAGTCTGTTATCATTGACGAGTCGGCTATTGGATAACTTCCTTCCTCTCAACTTAACCATCCTTGTCTATTCTTCTAACCCCCAGAAAATCATTCCTATGACAACTACCTCATCAATTAAAGGTTTCTACACCGGAAAACTGCATCCGGTCAACTACAACTACAACCGGACATCACCACCGGGGAAAACATCCGGACAATTACTGCCCCTATGCAGATTCCCTCGACAGTTCTCAATAGTATTTTGAACAGGAGTAGTTGTCCGTGGATGTGTAGTTGTCCGGGGATTGGTAGTTATCCGAAGGGGTAGCTGTTAAAGGGACAGAGCGGGGTAGTTTTTCGAGGATAACTGTCCTTGGGGTTGTTGTCCAGGGAGTTGACGATATGAGGCGATGTTCCATGGAATAGTCGTCCTGATGCGTGAAGAATCAAAGCAGGTAATTTGTGATACAGATAATTGGTGATAAGAAGTTTGAATCTATTGACTTATACAATTATGATTGCAGGGCCCCCAGGGAGAACGGTTAAGTCGCCGGACTGTCCATCACAAGGTACGCGGTTCGAGACCCACCGCGGTACTAATGTCCTTTGGCAAGAGATTGATCTACATTTGCCACACTCGACCCAGGTGGGTACCTGGCAAGAATTAATTCTTTGAAATGCTAGAGCGCCGTGATGGCAGCACAGCTAAAGTCGGGGGTAATAATCTCCAAGTCTGGAAGCGCTTAGTGGTTGTAATAAGCGCAATACATAAACTGAGTATTATTATTATTATATTTTTCTTTAAAAAAAATAAATTTACTTACACTTGGTGCCAGGGCACGTAAATCTGCAGGAATGTTCTCTCTCGTGTACCGTACTGGCTGCCCAATCTCCTGCTGACCATACTTTGCCATATCCATTTCGAAACGGAGTTGAGAAGCTTGAAAACTGAGTGACAGATTTGTCAAAATGTCTTGAGATATTCTCGCAGTCGTAACCGCTACGGATTTCCGTTTTGACAATGGTACGTGGTGATCTTTAGCTTCTGTTTTAAGGTGTTTCTGAGGTCGCTGCCTCCAACCAGCCACTGGTTGCTTCAAGATGAAAGGGGAGCCGCGAGACGAATCACTAGTGTTAGCGCTAAATTTGGTGGTGTTCCCATATTGAAAGACGTGGTGTTCCCGTTCATGATGTAATGAATCAATTCTAGAAGCGCCGTCATCATGGCCCGTATTTTTGCTTGGTCGAGGGAATGGCTGGGCTACGTTGCTCTCCCTCGAGAAAGACATCAGAGTAAATGAAAAGTACATTATCATCCCTGTAAAAGTGAGCAATATCTGGAAGAAAAAACCCCAAAAGATTGATTTTAAAAAAAAGAGAGGATATGTTTCCCTTCGTATTTTAATAGGCGATTCAATAGTAGAGTCCGTTTTTGTTTGTATCCTATTCATAACGGAATATGAATAATAACACGAACGATACAATTAACTGATTCAGTTCAGTCCTGACTCTACGAGAACATGACTGTAAGGTACTCTGTTTCTTGTATTATTATTGTAATGCTGGTGGGAAGCATATTTCCATATTGTGGATGAAATAGATCAATATCAATATCAATATCAAAATATGCTTGCTGTGGTGCGGGAAAAATTACTATATCTTTCACAGTTAAAAATACAATACAGTAGGTAATTGTAAAGCTACAGTTGCAAGGTGCACGCCCCCCCCCCCCCAATGAATGACAATAAAACAAAATGAAGAAGAAAAAGAAGAGAGGAGAGAAAAATAAAGGAGAAAGATGACACGGTGAAAAGAAGATGATCTGACCCTTAGTCCCCAGCCCATACCCCTATTTGATGGACTTCTTAATTTTTATTTAATTCATCATTCACCTCACAAAAACCGATAGCCCCCCCCCCCCCCCCCCACCTCCTTATACGATTGTAGTGCCAGCTCAGTGACTGGACCAAAGATACACATAGGGCATTTGACATCAACCTCGCCTACCGGTATTATTAGGCAATTTCGTTAGCCTTGTGCGTCAACTATATTATCTTGAAATAAATGAACATGAGAATGACATGATACGGAATCCGATCATTGTATCCCCGCCCCCCCCCCCCCCCCCCCCCCCCCACTCAGTTAGGGTACGCATATGCATGTTCCCTCCTTTGAAAAACACCCCCCTAAAGTCCGGTGTGTAACGGATTTTTGTGTACTACGAGCCGGATTTTGGTGCGTGAAAAGTACCCCTTTACCGGACATTTTGGGAACACGCATGGTATCCCTCCGTTCACGGAGTGGGAGGGGGTGTATCTAGGCAATACAATCATGTCAATTCCCTAGTATAGAATCAGTTGACTTGAAATAAGCTGATTTCTCGAAGGTCTCTGCGATCGTGCTTGTCTTAGTTGGCCTACTGACAGCTTAAGTGACAATTAAATTAAATATCCTTACCATGAGTCTCCTCTTGCAGTAAGGGGTCATTTTGTTGTTTCCTCAGTTCAATATTCTTCGAGAAATAGAGTGTAGTTCCTGTTGAATAAACAGAGGAAAATGTCATTTTAATTACAAGTGTTCTTGTAATTAAAATATGCTGACAACACTGAAATGGGACAACGTAGAGAGGAGACGCCTAATCCAAAGGGTAACTACACTCCACAAGATGATTAATGCAGAACTAGATATTCCACTAGGAGATTATCTCCAGAGGAAAGGATCAAGAAGTAGGCGGACACATGACAAACAGTTGACTACCTTTCAGTGCTCATCAACACCATTTGCAGAATCCTTCTTCCCTGAAGCTGTAAAACTATGGAATGACCTACCTCAACTAAACGTGGACATTAAATCCAGCACAGTCTTCAAATCTGCAATCCCAAAACTAAATCAAATAGCATAACCCCAGAAATACACAAATCTATACTCTCGTCACGTCAAGTTATACTTCCAGTTATAGTTCCTAGCGGACCTTTCGGAAGAGACGAACACAAGGTACAAGGTACAAGGTACAAGGTACAAGGTACATGGTACAAGGTACAAGGTACAAGGTTCTATATAGAATGACATCGGTATGCCTCCATAGACATGCCCAGTGCAGAGTGAAAGGGGGGGGGGGTGACTTCATCGGAATGTTTATAAACCATGGTCCATCAATAAAATAATCTCGTGAATTTTGATACCCATCATCTATGCAACCGCGAATTCATCTAGGCCTATATGCATGTACTTTTTCTGATTTCTTGTATCGTAGGAACCTCTTTATGACGAAAAAAAAGTCCTAAAAATGATAAAGTTTAAAATTAGTTATTGCTAAGGTTGTATGAGTATATATATATATATATATAAAGACACAGGGGCGGATCCAGCCGGCGGCAGGGGAGAGGGCCAAAGAGGGGGCCCAATTCGTGAGAGAATATTTAGCGGCAAAACAGCCAGCTGGGGGGGGGGGGGGGTAGTGAGCACTAATTTTTTTCTTTTGGCCCTCGAAAATTTGAAAAATCGCACCCCTCCCCCCTTGAGCGCCAGGGGAGGGGGCCTATCTAAAAAAAAAAACTAACTAACGTGTTTTTAACTGTACCCCCCCCCCCCCTGGATCTGCCACTGTACAGAGATGCTGGGCCTGAGTCGAAACGGTGACCGTGAGCCCCGAACGCCTATTCACTATGCATCTCTGCTGAGTACTAAACAATAATAGACATGTTCGATTAAACAAATAATCTAAAATTTATAATACACTAATGAGAGAAAATAATTTCCAAACACCTCACTACACTGAAAATGCGTTCGGAACACTGCCTCCATTTTATCCATTCATTTGTTTACTTATCTAATTTTTGTCTTCATTTATATTATCTGTATATTTATTTGACTTGCAGGATCATAACACAAAATGGTAATATACAAACAGACAGTAAAGGGATGTATGATAATGATGATGACGATAGTTATGATGGTGATGATGATGGTGGTGGTGATGATGATGATGATGATGATAGTTATGATGGTGATGATGGTGGTGGTGATGATGATGATGATGATGATGTAATGATGATAGTTATGATGGTGATGATGGTGATGATGATGATGAAGATGATGTAATGATGATAGTTATGATGGTGATGATGGTGATGATGATGATGATGATGATGATGTAATGATGATAGTTATGATGGTGATGATGGTGATGATGATGATGATGATGATGATGTAATGATGATGGTGATGATGGTGGTGGTGATGATGATGATGATGATGATGTAATGATGATAGTTATGATGGTGATGATGGTGATGATGATGATGATGATGATGATGATGTAATGATGATAGTTATGATGGTAATGATGGTGATGGTGATGATGATGATGATAATGATGAGGATGGTGTATTTTTTAAAACATAAGGTTACCAAGTGAAGTAGATTCATATTGACACGCTGGGCACATGCCTTCTGAATTTTAGTTGGGGACGTACAACACTTTGGAAATTGAGTTGCTTTCCTTTTGCACTTATCTTTTTATTTTTCCACTAGCTTATCGTTGGCTTACCACCGTTTCAACCTTTCACAGTAGGGATACACTTTTTGGCTTCTTCATGAGGTCTTGTAACAAAGTTATCAAAAAGGAATGTACGAATCCCTCGATAGTTTCATCGGTTATGTGCTGGGGGCAAGTCTGCTTGAAGGATCACCTGGAGTCACTATATACATTTGGATACGCGAACATCTTTCATTTCAAATTATACGCGATATGAGTATTTATAATAAAATGGTCGCTACCAAAACAAAAGAAAGATTCCCTGTTGACAATAAAAATGCATTTTGAACCATTTCGTTTTTATTCAAGTGTACTGCACATTCCTGGATATTCATTACAAATAGGGCATCGTTGTACAAAAGAACGATAAGGCTTTTCAATGATACCAACGTCAATATAGTAAAAATTCAAATTGGACTAAATGCAATACCATTTTGAAATATTTTATCAATCACTTTCAGTGACGGTCTATAAAGTTCAACCGAGCACCCCCCCCCCCCCCCCCCCCCGTGGCTACGTGCTTGGTGACAAGAGAAACATCAATTATATAACATGAATTGATTCAACTGGGATCTTAGATGGCAAATTATGATAAAAACATGGATTTCGTTTTTGTTGATGGAAGCTCATTTCCATTCTGTGTAAACGTTAACCATAAAGTGTATTCACATATGTGTCCACCTTGTTCATTGACCTCAAAAAACAGTATTGGGCCGCCAACAAACATCACTCATAATTCCTTTATTGTTGAAGATTTGTGCGCAATGCAACTTATATTCGTTACATTATCTTTTTCACTACCCTTGAAAACAGCGGATTGAACAGTTTATTTGTTGTATTATTTCAGTCGGGTAATTAAATGCAAAGTGACGGAAAATGAAAAAACTTGAAACTACACTGTTGCCTATGAAGTTGAAATAAATATATTTTACCCCTATTATAAAGGGACTGTGACAATATATTCTATTCTTGATTGATATAATAACGTTTTTCTTTTCACAACTCTATTTATCAATCTAATGAGTCGTAGAGGTTGATCAATAAAGTTCTGAGAATATATCAGTTTTATCCTTAAAAAATAAACCACATTGTCACATTCATCTCCTGAAAAGAGGTTCTTTAAAATTCCAATGTTATGGGCAACAGTATTTGTTGATCAACATACTCCTTTGGCTATGGAATGTACGTGACACAGCAAGACTTAATATTAACATGGAGTTCCTAGCCTGATATTAATCAGTGTTAATTCCAAGTTATATTAATATCAATCGAGGTCTTCTGACTATAATGTTGTCTTAATTACCTTAATTGAACGTTAACCGTGATATTATTATTGGAACTAGTAGAGTTATACATATTGTAAGGGTGGAATACAGCGATTCAGAGGATACAGGAATTCGAATTTCACATTTTCAATAGTCAATACTATAAAATCCTATTTAAAAATACATAGATCTACACCTCTAAATATAGCTACCATCTGTAACTTATACTGACCTGAATAAGGAATCCCACAGGAATTTATTTCTCGGCCATCCGGTCGAACAGTATTATGATTTCGGTCGGTATCGAAGACAGTTCAAGGATGTTCTCGTCAAGGTTCAAGCAGGGATATGCCCTGGTTAAACTGGTTCAATTTGCTTCATTTGACTTGGTGCAAACTATTGCTAATCTCTGAGACTCCGACCATGGAACCTACTAAACTGCTGCAGGCCCGGGTCCAAGAACGGAGAAAGAACACAAAGAAGAAGAGATGAAGCCAGAAAAAACACTTTACATGTAAATGGGTGATCACAGCTCTTTTGAATTCAGGAGTTGAAGATTCAGCGTCCAGCGCGAAATCACTTAAACAAACAATCTCTTAGCTGGAGATGTCTTTGATTTTCAAGGCGAGTAGAGGATGAGCAAACAGTCAATGCAGGACTCGCCACAAATTGATGTTGAGTTGAAGTGGCTTAGCGAGGTCTATGACTGTGTACGCCACGCGTCGCGAGTAGTAATACTGACAGAACACATACTGTAGTCTAAATTCACAGGCGCGAATGAGCGTATTATACAAATAAATTAGCGCTCACCTCTTGAAATGTTTGATGGGATGAATATGGTGGCCCTGAAGGGACATCGCGAATAGACTAAATCGTGAAAAATATGCGATAAAATTCACGATATCGTCAATTTTATCGCATATTTTTCACGAAGAAATTCACGAAATTGACGATATCGTGAACTTTATCGTGAACTTTTCACGATGAAATTGACGATATCGTGAATTTTATCGTGAAAAGTTCACGATATAAAGTTCACGATATCGTCAATTTTATCGTGTACTCTATCGTGTACTCTATCGTGTACTCTCCTGACGGGCGCTTCGTAAACAAAACCAGCCCTAGCTGGGGAGACAGAGAGAAGGAAAAAAGGGAAAGGGAAAGAGAAGATAAAAGGAAAGAAAGAATAATAAGAAGAAAAGAGGGAACGGGGGGGGGGCGAAGGGCTCTTGCCTCCTCCTCACTCCCCCCCCCCCCGCCAAAAAATAAATAAGGAGAGAGAGAGAAGGGAAAGGGAAAGGGAAAGAAAATATAAGAAAGAAGAGGAAGAAGGAAAGAGGGAAACGGGGGAAGGGCGAAAGGCTCTTACCTCCCCCTCCCCCCTCCCGCCATAAAGGGAAAGAGAAGGGAGAGGGAAAGAAAATATAAAAGGAAAGAAAGAAGAGGAAAAAGAATAAGAAAAGAGGGAAACAGGGGCGAAGGGCTCTTGCCTCCTTTCTTTTCTTTCTTTTCCTTTCTTTCCTATTCTCCCTCTTTTTCGTTTTTCTCTTTCTTTCTTCTCTTTCCCTTTCCTTCTCTCTCTCTCTCTTATTTATTTTTTGGCGGGGGGCGGGGGGACGAGGCAAAAGCCCTTTGCCCCCGTTTCCCTCTTTTCTTCTTCCTCTTCTTTCTTTCCTTTTATCTTCTCTTTCCCTTTCCCTTTCCCTTCTCTCTCTCTCTCTGATTTATTTTTTGGCGGGGGGGGGGAGGGGGGGGGGGGGCAAGAGTCCTTCGCCCTTCCCCCGTTTTCCTCTTTTCTTCTTCTTCCTCTTCTTTCTTTCCTTTTATCTTCTCTTTCCCTTTCCCTTTCCCTTCTCTCTCTCTCTCTGATTTATTTTTTGGCGGGGAGGCCCGGGGGGGGGGAGTGAGGAGGAGGCAAGAGCCCTTCGCCCCCCCCCCCGTTTCCTTTTTTTCTTCTTATTATTCTTCCTTTCCTTTTATCTTCTCTTTCCCTTTCCCTTTTTTCCTTCTCTCTGTCTCCCCCAGCTAGGGCTGGTTTTGTTTACGAAGCGCCCGTCAGGAGAGTACACGATAGAGTACACGATAAAATAGACGATATCGTGAACTTTATATCGTGAACTTTTCACGATAACATTCACGATATCGTCAATTTCATCGTGAAAAGTTCACGATAAAGTTCACGATATCGTCAATTTCGTGAATTTCTTCGTGAAAAATATGCGATAAAATTGACGATATCGTGAATTTTATCGCATATTTTTCACGATTTAGTCTATTCGCGATGTCCCTTCAGGGCCACCATAGATGAATGACATAATTACCAATTAAAGAGAAGAACGATTTCCTGGAAAGGTGGAGAGTAATCTACGAGCTTCGTCGTTCTTTTAGAATTAAGGTAGCGTGCAAGAATATCATATTTTTGTTAAATACCATCTATTATTCGAAACAACAATTGTTGAAATATACAATTTTTTAATCAAGGGCAGAAGGAAGTTATTACGGATGTTATAGAGGAGGAAAAGGACTTTTGCAATCAAGGTAGGCAGGTTGTCGTTGCGGCTACAAAAATGGGAAGAATTAGAACTGAATATGAATATAAGCGTGTAACTTTAGCTTACTGCGTGTTTGGTGTTTGTGTGTGTGTTTGGGGGGGGGGGTGGGATGTGGGGTGTGGTGTGTTCTTGCATGTGAGTGTATGTTATTGTGGTGTACATGCATGTGAGTGTGCATGTGAACGAGTAAGGATGAATGAGTTACAGATGCTATTGGTTTTGTTTGGGCTGTGTAGTAATTAAAGAATGGTGTTATAATTAGTTTTATATTATATATAACTGATTTCATTAAAACAAAAATTTCAATCGTAACTTATGACTTGTACATGTATTAATGCTTATCAGTAGTAGTTAACAGGAGGGATTAGAGCACCCTGCAAGGTAACTGGACAGGTGGTTATCTCATCAACTCAGCTCTCAAATAACATAAGAAAAAGAGGATTATGGGGGACCAATGGTCACCGATTAGGCATTGTTTTCTATATAGAGGGGGCAAGTAGCTACAAGTAGTGCAGTGGGCCTTTAAGTTATTTAAGTTATGTTATTATGATGACCAAGAATCATACAGCAGTAAGTGAGATGAGGCAAAATCAATGTGTTATATAATGAAATCGTCATGTCTAGGTAAAGTAAAGTAAAGTAAAGGTGAAGTGCGGAGGACACTGTAGTTCTACATAAACGACTGCATAGATCATCAATATGTGTTTTCCAAGACAATATTCATTTATTTTGATACCTAATAAGTTAATATTTGATACTTGGGCAATAATCCTGCCATCCATAATGACTTGTGGAATATCATTACCAGTTATTTGTTTTAAAGAGAACATATTTTGTTTTTTTCAAAATTTAAAGACAGTTTATTTGGTTAGAAAGAGTAATACTGGTGTCATCCGCAAAAGTATGAAATTAAGAATTGAAAAACAATTTATAAAATCATTAATATATACAACACAAATAATAACGGGCCGAGAACAGACCCTTGCGGAACTCCGTATAATACACAACTTAAATCTGATTTGACACCGTTGACCACAACATACTGCATACGATTTGATAAATAATTATTAAACCAGTCAAGAGCATGACCTCTGACGTCGGCCGTCTGGTTGCTTACTTACGAGCATTTATGCTTTCTTAGCAGTCAGGTAAAATAACCATCATCACCATCACCATACTGTTCCTTTTTTAAAGAATTATGTCATGGTCAACGGTGTCAAATGCCTTTGAGAGATCTAAAAATATACCACCAGTAAAATTACCCTCATCTCTTTTTTGTTGTTGAAATACTATCATACACATGATATTGGCATGTATGTAGAATTTTTTTTACGAAAACCAAATTGTTGCAAAATCAATATATTATTATAATTCAGAAAATCATATAAACGTTCAAAGACCTTTTTTCTAATATTTTTGAAAAGAAGGGTTCGAGTGCGTTAGGAAATTGACCATAATCAATAGACATGTTGAATATATTATGACAAAGAGGAAAACATTGATGTATACATTTTCAAACAATGAATGGTATAATGCCATCAGAGCCACAAGAAGACGTTGATTTTCAGGAGGAGCAGGGCTTTAATACATCATTTATATTAGTAGGTTTCATAAACACTGATTGTTATTACCCCCAAAAGCTCATAAAATCAGTGCGACATTGAGGAATGTCATTGGCAACATTTTTACCTAATGTTAACAAAATATTGATTGAAATACATGGCTCTCATTTGATTGCTTTCAATACATTCATTCCTATAGTACATTTTTGTTGGTAGAAAAACATCAGAATTTTCCCCCTAAATATGATTCATTTCTTTCCACGTTTTTTTCATGTTGCATTTTAGGATGCCAATCTTTTATGATAGTATTCCTTTTTAACAGAGCGGATGATTTTAATCAATGAATTTTAATGTTTTTTTTTTATATTTCTCTTTTTTTTTCTTCTTTTAGTTATGAATGGTCCAGAATATTTTCGCAAATCTTTATACAAAGTTTTTTTTCTTATTAATTGACTTTATAATGCCATCGGGTTTTCCAAACAATGTTTATTCTTGTAGACTAAATCAATTCTGTAATAGATTTATTGCTTTTATTCTGCTTGCGTTATAAGCGAATCTTCCGAAGATCTCACGGCTACTCAGCGGGAAGGAAACCAGCGCGAATCATGCATGACCTTTCAATGCTTCGCTCCATCACAGCCCAACCGGACGGAAGAATCAAAACTGGATTTCTCTCTCTCTCTCTCTCTCTCTCTCTCTTCCTCTCCCTCTCTCTCTCCCTCTCTCTCTCTCTCTCTCTCTCTCTCTCCCTCTCTCTCTCTCTCTCTCTCTCTCTCACTGTCTCTCTCTCTCTCTCTCTCTGTCTGTCTGTTTCTCTCTCTTACTCTCTCTCTCTCTTCCCCCTCTCTCTCTCCCCCTCTCTCTCTCTCTCTCTCTCTCTCTCTCTCTTCCTCTCACTCCCTCTTCTTTTTTCCTCTATCTAAAATAAAAAAAATCCCCTTATACTTCCTCCATTTTTGGACCATCATATGGTTTTTCAATCATTTCTAGAACATCCAGATCGGCTCAGGGACAAACATCTGGAAAGATTAGACATGCACAAACTTTGTCATATCTGTAGGTAAAAATTGTTGGACAACATCCGATTCACCACATGTTTCGTTTCATTTCATGTAAAAGAAAGAATCATACCAAGGAGTTATTACAATGTGATACTTCCTTGATCATACGAAGTATTTGCTATGTTCGTTTTCGAAGTCATGGGGGAAGGAGGAGGAGGGAGGGGGACAAAATTACATGTCACTCACCTTTACAGTAATTGTTACTTTCAAAGTTATACCACGGTATGTTGCTAAACACACACACTCTCTCTCTCTCTTTC